TAGTGTCGTGAGTTTAGCTTTTCTCAAGAGCTCTTCGTATGAACTTCTCGTATCGCAGTAGACGGCTCTTAATGCTCGCTCTTGTACTCGCTCCATCTTTCTACTATCCGACGCCCGACAGAAATGCTACACTGTATGAATTTGAGGCATTATTAAAGAAATAAAAATCTTAAGTTTGGCTGATGTTGTTAACATGTTTCTAAGCCTCATCAAAACTCCAACCTTCCTAGATGCGTTTTTACATACCTCTCCAATATGCCTACTAAAATTCAAATGCTCGTCAATGGTCACTCCCAGTAATTTCATTTCAGAGTGACTCTCAATATCATTGTTCATAACATCAATTTTCATCTGTTTATTTTTATGCTTCGACCCGAGAGTCATCAACTGAAATTTTTCATGATTACACGTGAGTAGATTGTCCTTATACCACTTTCAAATTTCCTTCCGCTCGTGGTTTAAAATACTCTCAACGTCTTCGATTCTTTCCCTGAACGTATAAGCTTGATGATCATCTGCATACATCATTACACTGCACTTATCAGTTTGTATTTTATACAGACCCTTGAGGGCATCCCCTTTCGGTCGCGAAATTGGAATTCTCCAAACGGTTTGACCCATGATTTTAACCAAGAATTCGAAAAAAAAAACTTCCCTTTTTGGGAAGAACAGGTCTAGGAAAAGTGTTTGGTAATGTTCTACATAGAAAACAAGCCTTTCTAGACTACAAAAATATCGATTTTTGAATGGTCGCAAGATTGGAATTTCATTTTTTAAAGGGGTTAAACCAGTGAGTTTGGTCATAAAGTTGAAATCTTTAAATTGTTTCTTTTTGGGCAAAATAGGTCTAGAAAAAGTGTTTGGTAATGTTCTATAAAGAAAACAAGCCTTTCTAGACTATAAAAATATCGATTTTTGAGTGGTCGCCAAATTGGAATTTTTCATTGGGGTTAACCCATGAAATAGGAAAACGAAACATAGATGGTCTATTGGTGTACCGCGGAGATATAGAGGATATTACACGGTGGCGCGAAGATATGAATTTTATTTTCGAGTGGCAAAATAATATTTTACGAACGAGCGCAGCGAGTGAGTAAAATATTGTTTTTGCCACGAGAAAATAAAATTCATATCTTCAAGCGGCCGTGTAATTTCCTTTTTATTATATAGACAAAAAGACATCGATAAAATAATAGAGGAAAATGACCGAAATTATGTCATCGATAAACTCACGTGTGAGATTATGGAAAATAAACCACTCGGGTCCCGGATGTAGTTTTTATGAATTTTACGAGTGGTATATTTTCCAGTAAAACACTCGTGTCTATATAATAAATATCAATATTATTCCTTCCGACTGGGCACTATTACCATGGCTCCAGAGGTCCGTTCTCGAAATACTCTGGAACACCGTGCTAATTTTGGTCGGAACATTTCAAAAGAGCAAAAGTCGTGCATACTTGGGTGAGTGTCGTTGGTCGTAAGTTTCCCTCCCTACTCCTCCCTTTAAAGAAAGTCTGCGTGGTGGGCATTCAAAAAAGAGGGGGGAAATTGAGAGCGCAAGTTGGGGGGAAGGGGGTACACGGTGTACGGTCATCTCGCCACCAACGAAATCTCCACCAAGAAGTCTACTGACACCACACAATAACTCTGCGATAATCGACACTGTTTACTTACCTGGGATTGTTACTTCTTCCTCAAGCCTAAATATAAGTTTATGGATTTTAATTGACACCTTGCGTCGAGCTTCTCATCTTTTTTGTGAAGAATTGCGACTTTTTAATGCCTTAATACGGCTTATTTGCATCGCTCGAGAGGTGGGATTTGTTTAAAATCCAACATCCTTTCTTGTGAAAGTTGGTTAATATTGTCACTTGAACCTTACCTCCTTAAATTTCATTGTCAATTTAAAGTGAAAGAATTCTTTATAGTGACTTGTCCTTTCGAGAAGTATTAAGATGTATATTCCTTGGTGGCGAGGTGACCGGATACCTGGTGCACAACCGTTCACACATCATCATCATCGCCTAATGAAGTTTAAAAAACTCAGAGGCATGTCGCTGTGTTGAGGGTTCACAAATATTTTTGTAACAGTAACTTCTCAACCGTAGAGAAAAAATGACAATTTTTAAGGCTGTTTTCTAACGTTGTCTTTTTTCTATCCCAGAATCGCGGGGCTAATTTTTCACTTGATTCCGATCGCCCTAATGTACTGGCACCAATGAAGAGACCGTATCACACCATTATCCCAGGTATGGCTACACGGGGAGACACTGGGGAGTTGTTTGCCTGTTTCGGTGTCATGGGAGGCTTCATGCAACCGCAAGGACATGTGCAGGTGATTATTTAGCAATTAATGAATTCGGCTTTCGTAGGATATGAAGAATTAAGCAGATCGAGGCGGGTGTTATAGGCCTCAGTGGATAACACCCTCCGAGATCTGCTTAATTCTTCATATCCTACGAAAGCCGAATTCATTAATTGCTTTGTTATTCATTCAATAATAATTCCTAGTTTAAAAACATAGCTAAAACATGCTTACCTGCATCGATGTTAAGTTCATCTTCAATAGTGTACGTTTAGGTTTGTCCATTCCCGCAAATATTCTCCAAATAGCAGATGTCGCCCTCCGAGTTGTCTTCTTGCTGTTTTTGCCGTGTGTTTAGCATTTATCTCGCCTAGTTCCAGCTGTAGTTCTTACTCTTGAAAAGAGTAAAATGTCCGCCATTATTTTTTTCACAACCAAAACAACTCTACCTCATCCCCAGGTCTTCTCGGTAACGGTGCCTCAACCTTTAGCAGGCTGCATTTTTGACGCCATTACCTCATTAAACACAAAATTCTTCCAAATTTGGTCATCAGTAACTGGTTATGGTAAATTGTGCGTGTGCCTTTAGCCAATCAGAATTGGGGAAATATTTTGAATGAATAATAATATCGCTTAGCTTTTGTTGGATAAGGTAACTTAAGTTGATGCCGAAGGTCAGTCGTCTTCTTTTGAAATGCAGAGGCGGATCCAGGGGAGGGGCCCCGAGCCCCCCCCCCCCTTATTTTTAGACCAAACTGAGGCCCGAAAGGCTTCCCCCCTTGTGGTTGACCCCCACCCACCCCTCCCCCTTCCCTTATCCCAAGGTCTGGATCCGGCACAGCAATGTACGTATTATAGGAAAGTACTGCTCAGTAGCTCCTATTTGAATGGTCACACTTAAGGTTTACATCCAGAAACTCAAAAGCGACAACTTCCTTACAAAGCCTAATAAACAGTACCACAGGAAAGTACTGCTCAGTAGCTCTCATTTGAATGGTCACACTTAAGGTTTACATCCAGAAACTCAAAAGCGACAACTACCTTACAACAGGGTTCACACAGTCTTGAAAAGTCCTTAAATTTCTGTGGAAGTCCTTGAAGTTTCTTCAACTTTGAATGTAGTGGCCTGGAAAGTGTTTTTGATGCTGTTTGATTGTCTAAGACAGAATATAAATCATAGCTCGGAGAATTTAAAGGTTATTTGCATAAAGTGTTCTATGTTTTATTCAATAATTAACTATCAATTTAAGACAAGTGAACTGAAAAGGTGAAGTAAACAGTTCAAGCCTTAAAGTCTTATTAGAATAGACTGGAAATGTGCACTTCTGCACAATCTGTGAAATTATATTCCTAGTAGGTGTTGTCCTTGAAAATCTAATGTGGTCCTTGAAAAGTCCTAGAAAAATGGTTGCATTTTTTTGTGTGAACCCTGTACAAAGCCTAATAAACAGTACCGAAGGAAAGTGCAAAAATCAGCAAAAGAGATATTATCAATGTTTAGTTGCCCCTCATGAATTTTTTATATGTCCTTAATAACTCTACAGGAGCAGCTTGTGTATGGTTATAGTAAAGGCACTAAGTAATAGCAGTAGCAGACAATTGGCTTTAAACAGCAATATCCTTGTGCCGTAGTCCTTTTAACTCTCGGCCAACTGTCAAATTTCAAGTCAGACTTTAAAGAGAAATCAGGGGACTTTGACTTTTCTCTCTTTCTATATCAGGTTTTGCTCAATATGATTGATTTTGGGATGGACCCTCAACAAGCGTTAGACAAACCAAGGTTTTGTATACATACCAAAGGAAAAGAGACTGGCTTAGTTTTCTTAGAGGAGGGCATCTCAAGCGATGTTGCCACGAAACTCGAGAGGCTTGGGCACGAAGTTGAATTCCCTGTCTGTGGACATGAAAGAAGTGTATTTGGAAGGGGACAAATAATCACCCGCAAAATAGCACCTTGCAAAAATGGACTTGATACGGCTGTTTACTGGACAGGGTCTGATCCCAGAGCAGATGGAATGGCTATTGGGTTATGACGAACTCTGCATGGGTCAACTAGTTCATATGGAATAGAGCGATTTTCGTATGACCTTGAAAAATGGTTTCGGTAAGTGTTCGTTATTTGTTTTATCAGCCAATGGATAAAAAGACCAAAACATAGCCTCTTTGTTTTCCCGCCAAAGAAAACTCTAATAGGGAGAAGGCATTGTTCGACTGGCCAATGGTGTTGCAGTATGACGTCAAAGCGAAGTATCGGTTGATTTCTTGAAAGTTCTCGAGCATGAAGTTTTTTCACCCGACCTTTCGCTTAACCAACCAAAGGTCACGCGCGTTTGTTTGTGTTCGTTCGATAAACCAATCAAATCGCTCCATTACCGTTCGTTTGTTGTTTCTGTTTTGTTCGCGCGTTTTCATTTCAAGGTCATACGAAAATCGCTCTAATAGACAAACCTACATCTACAATGTTGTGGCGACTGGGTAGTGACTAATCTGTTGAACTTTAGCGGGTACGAACTTTTTCTCAGTTTCACTGTTTGAGATCTTCGAGGTGGAACGTCATGTACAATTATAAATTGGTTCAAGCTGAGCAGAAAATTTGACTAATTATTTTCAATGTACTTTTGCCATACTTAGAAATCTAAAAGAAAGGCATCAAGTGATTCCATCAATAGGAAAACAAAGCACGATCGGGTGTTGGTTATTTTTTTTTATTTTTATTTTTTTTTTCACAACAGTAGACTGAGTTAAAATTAAACTGTTCCGTCATTTCGGGATATATGTACTTGTTACCATGACATGGATCCTTTGGATCAATTAAAGTTTCTGAGAAACTGCCCACCTACCCATCCCCTGAGCCAACATTTTATCCTAAGTGGGAAGTAAGGTGTTGATGTTAGCTTAGGGGAGGGGTAGGTGGGCAGTTTCCCAGAAACCTGAACTGATCAGATCCCTTCAAGTGAACGTTTATGCTCAGTAGCCACTTTGTGGGACAGAGCTTTGCGTCAAGATATTTTCAAAGGACTTCAGGGAAAATGCACAACATTGCGCTTAAGGTGATTCCCTAGTTTTGCACTGCGCATCTCTTACTGCGCATAACAAGATGGCCTCCGTAAAAAAGAGCATGTGAAGTAACATTATTAAAATGAGGTTGACCGAAGAGAAACGCTATTGCAATGTTTGCTTGCGGTTGTTTCTTGCCGAGGTGACACTCAATGTGGTGGGAATGTGCGTAACGTAAGCAGTAAGCGTGTCGCTGAGTTCGACTTCCTCACGGAGAACCTCGATAGTGGATGTTTAATTGGTGCTTATTCACTTTGATTTTCATTTAAACGCTTTCTTTATCACATTGCGTCCTAAATGTAATATCTCGATGTAAATTCTGTAAAAACGGATTTTTTAATACTTTCTTCCCCTTTCGCATACATTCTATTTTGAAACTCGCCCCAGTCCTCTCTCAAAAATCAAGGAAAATGCATGTGGTGCGCACTTTCTGCAGCTCTACCGCAAAAACGAGTACGGTGACCACCCTTTTTTATTTCATGATTTTAATAAGGACAGTGCTTCCTTTCGGTGAGAAAAAAATTGGCACAAATCTATGTTCAGTTTTTTGGCAATTTTACTAAATTGTACGGATTAAGCTATCACGTGTCGAATAGCGTGTGTCCAATTTAATTCTACTTTGGAGCGTAAAGTAAAAACAAGGGCATTAAAAGGCATTTTTCTGGTACGTAAGTGGATAAACAATACATTAAAGTCAAATTCTGTGCGATACCACATGCATCATTGAAAAAATTTTTTCCTTTTTGTCTAGTTTTGGGCTGCGCGCGGTTTTTGTCAAAGGGTTCAAAATAGCCGTATTTGTCAGCATTCTGACGTCAAAACGATCACGGTGACCCCCACTTTTTATTACCTTTTTATCATCTTCTTGACTTGTTACATCAGTGTACCAAGTTTCATCTACAATCTATGTTAGGTTCTTTTACTAGGGAATCACCTTAAATGGACCAAACATTATGGTATTTAAATGATCAATTTCATTTTCAAAGACTTGTCGTAAACGGTAGGAACATTATTTAGATTACGGGAATAGAAATGTTTCCTGGAAATGTTTACACAAGCGAATCAGCTTTCATCAATACTAGTAGATGTAATATATCAAATAATGAAAACAAGTAAACAAACAAAACTGTAGTAATATGTTTTCATAGTATGTGGTATATTCTGCTATAATTTTTCATAAAAATCGTAGTTCGTAACTTCATTTCAGTTAGAAGGCGTTTCTAAATTTCGTCTCTCGTCGCCTTACGCCAGCATCCGGTGACGGCATTCTCGGTTACAAATGAAGCCGAGTGGCTGTGAGGATGTGTTGTTGGAGACTAATCTCGTCACTCTTTCCCAGGGCTTTTCCCTAAGAAATTGGGGAAAAGCCTGGGACTGACGTTTGACGTAAAGGACAAATGTAAAGAAAGTTACAATAGGCCATTTCCGAGTTCCCCCGGGTCTCTGTTTCGAAACGAGGTTAAGTTCTCAGCCTTTGATATGAAAATGATTTTTAATTCTCATGCAAATAAAACTCATTTTTACAAGAAAGGTTGAGCACTTGGCTTCATTTTGAAAGTGAGGGATTCAGGAACTCGGATATGGCCTATTCAAATGCAAAAGTACCGCAAATGTATATGCCGCAGGACGTGGCTAGGGTCTTTTCGGGTTTACACCTCGATATAGTAGCATAGTGCAGGTAAATTGCTTTTCTCATTAGCCCTTTAACCCCTAATATCAAAACTCAAATTCTCATTTGTCACCCTAATGGGTTTCCTATGAATATAGTGGGGAGAAGTTGTTGAAGTATCAAAAAGATTCTTCTGAGATTATGTCCTTAATTCTCATGACCTCTCTGTTTTATAAAGCGAAGATAATACAAGGAGAAACTTGATGCCGATCAGTTTTAGGGCTTAAAAGGTTAACGAGAAAATCGTCAGACCCGCGAAACTGGACTCGGGTCTGGGGAGGACAGTCAGTCCCCGCTGGTGCCACTACATACCAACTTGCCAAAATGAGTTGTTTTTTGCTTACGTAAAAGGTAAAGATCCTTATTTTTTTGTGGCTAAGGCTCTAGAAATACAATCTAAACTAAATTTAATTTAGCCAATAAGCCATCGTGTTTGTGAATAAGTTCGAAACAAAAGCGCATAGGTCCGCAATGAATACCCAGTATCAATAACAACAGAACAATTCGTAAAGCTGTAAGCCTCGATGCATCATTACTAACCAAGGATCCCAAATTAAAAGCGATAGGCTAGAATTTGGGGGAAAGCAATTCAAATTCTTTGTAAATGTCCATTTCGTTCTTGTAATCACTCTTTCACAAAAACACGACAAAACAAGATTATCCCATACGGGGCAGCCTGGATGGCAGACGGAGAATAAAGATTTCTTATGTGGCCAAAAAGAGAACTTTTTCTTGCGGGGCAACGCGGGGAATTTCCAGCGGGGAAGATTGGCCAAGAACATTACGAGACAACACCTACACTCTCTTCAACGCAAAACTGCCAATATGGAATTGTCCATTCTCCTCCCTAGAGCCACTCGGCTTAATTTGTTCAACACCACGTGACCAAGAAACGGCGGGTTCTGGGGACGAGAACGGGAATGTCATGTCAAGCAACTCGTTCATTTCAGGCATTTCTCAGTGAAGCAAACAGTTCGGTGTTTAATTGCATTGCCAAAGAAAATTGCAGGCTGGCAAAGTAAAACGTTCGTGAAATTAAATTGGTGAAGGTTTAAAATGTAATGTAATAAAGATTTTATGAGTTTAATAGGTAGTATACGTTACAATAATGGAATGATATGAAAGCATATAGTATACAAGTGGTACAGATGTTTAATGAAATAAACTGCTGGTCAGAACTATTTGCAGGGGTGTCATTTTTGCAACGCAGAATCGAGCAAAGCATTACATAGCAAAGGTAACGTAATAAAGGAGACACGCAGCTATTTTCTTTAGTCCAAATTTGTTTTCTTTGACTTCTTGACGTATTTCCAAAAAAACATTTCGTTGCTTTTTTAGAAAAACGAAAAGGTAATTGATATGTTTCGAACGTACCTTGTGATGCTAATAGACAGCAGCTTTTTTTGTCAGATTTTTGGGCTAGGCTGTCATCGTTTTGGATTCAATTCTGTTGTTTGTGTAAGATCCAAAGAATCCACTTCCGCTGTGGATCAATTGGATCCGCGATCCGTTTTTGGATTTTAGTAAAGAAACGCACCCTTGGATGTTAATATTCATGGTGACGATGATCATGATGATGATGATGACGACGACGACGAAGATGATGATGACAATGATGATTATGATGATGATGACGGGGGCGCCACGCGGAATGAGGATCCATAAAGACAGTCGTGAGCCATGCACGCAGTACTAATAAGCGGCGACGGGTTTATCCAAAACCGGATACTTTGGGTACATGATCCGAAGCGTTTCTTTACTACGGATCCGAAAAGAGTGAACATTGCCAGCGGTAACTCGATAAAATTTTAAAGCACACCTCAGCTTCTTGACAAGACGGCTTACCTATACGGCAATTTTTGAACCAGAGTCATGAATTAAACGATGGATTTTATCCTTTTTATCGAGGTGGTAAAATCCCAATACAAGCAGGACCTGCATTGTTCTAGTTACAAGGAAAAAACCGCTACTCAGGTTCGCCGGCGCGTCTTGCAACACTTCTGAATTTAATTTTCCCGCGCATCTTATTCCAAAACTCATCCTTATTTGGCCCTTCTAAAGCAGTATCCTAAAGCTAACCGTCCAGAATACAATGAAAGATCAGCAAACTTGCAACCAAGTTGTCAGCAGCCGTATTATTCTTTCTCCGGGATACCGTCGAAATAAATGGAAATGAATGAAAAACAATCCCTTTTTGGATACAGTGTTTCTTTTCTCAACGAAAAATCCTAATGATCCGGATTTTTGATCTGATCTTGGATTTTAGTAAAAAAAAGCCCCCCCCCCCCGATCAACATCACCACCATCATCACTATCATCGTTATCATCATCATCATCATCATCATCATCATCATCATCATCATCACTATCGTAAACAACAAGAACATCATCGTCGTCATCTTCTTCTTCTTCTTCTTCTTCTTCTTCTTCTTCTTCTTTATCATCAACATCATTAACATTATCATCATAATTATCACCATTCTGTCATCAAGTCTCATTAGCATCTGAAATAAGCTTCGCAGCGCTTATTTCATTTTCCCTGTTATAGGTGTGGCCCCCAAGAGAGATTGGTGCTTATTTCAACTACTGGTAAAATACTGAGGGGAACTGTACAGAGAGAATTAAGTAAGGCCCGTACTAGGTATGCACAATTTAATATGTACAAAATATGTAGCCCTCGAGCTATTACATGAGCCTCGGTTAGTTCTACGAACTATTTAGGTGTCGCAAACTCTGCACAATGAACGTAAAATTGAAAAATTTCTTTTCCTTCTTCGCAATCTTTTATTATTATATTTATAAGCACTGATTTGTATTAATTAATATCCTGTGTGAGTTTAAATAAAAATTGACTTCACTTGACTTAAACGACGACTTAAAGACCGTTTCAACAGACACCGCAGACCAGTTGCAGTGCCAGGAGCTGGAATACACAGCAATGTATACAGCACTTACAATGCCAAATA